CTCCCCCCCAGCCGACCCCATTGAGGTCAGGACAGCTACCCCCAATCCAGTCCTGAAGTGCGGCTCTGAGGGCTCCCACGCCCTGCACAGCAGCCGCAGCAGCAGCACTATCAGCAGCCAGGGAACCCCAGGGGGAGCTGCCCATGAAGTGGGCCTCCACACTGGGCAGGCTGAGGAGACCAAAGACCTAGACTGCCCAGGGTCGAATGCCAAAACTCCCCCAGGCAGCCTGGTGGAAACCATATCCACCACTCCCCCAGCTGACCCCCCTGAGGTCAGGACAGCTACCCCCAGCCCAGTCCTGAAGCGCGGCCCTGGGCGCTCCTCGACCATGCGCAACAAAAGCCACAGAAACACCATCAGCAGGGGTAGAGCCAGAGGGGGAGCCGCCCATGAACGCGGCCTCCACACTGGGCAGGCTGAGGAGGAGACCGAAGACACTGACTGCCCTGGGCCTATAACCACCACTCCCCCAATCACTTCCCCTGAGTTCAGGACAGATACCCGCAGCCCAGTCTTGAGCACCATCATCAGGGGTGGGGCCAAAGGGGGAGCCGCCCATGAAAGCGGTCTCCACAATGGGCAGGGTGATGGGGGCAGCCCACTCTCTCCCTCTGGACACAGCCAGGGCCGGCCCGGGTGGGTTAGGAGGGCCTGGAGATTCATTTCAAAATGGACTTGCTGTGGGTCACCCACGAAGAAGAAAGGTTTTAGGACGAAAGTCCAACCGATGTAATTTGTAAAAATGTTTAACTGTGAAGGCAGGACAACAGTTACTTAAAAGGTGCAGGTGCGGAGCTCCAGGAAGGCCGTGCACGTGGTACGGGAGCTGAGCCAGAGGATGGATGTAACCAGCTCGGGGCCAGCGGCACCAGAAATAAACACAGTCTGTGCCAGGTGAGAGCACGTGGTGCAGCCAAGGATGGAGGCGTGGGAAAGGCTGAAAGGATGTGTCCAAGAGGATCATGACCTTGGCTCACTATCACTGCCAACACCGGGCACAAGGTTCGATGAAGAACACTGCCCAGCAGGCTGAGCCACGGAACTTCTCCAATGTAGTCTGGCTGGCTGTGTTCCAGGCCTCCCCCAATGAAGTCTGAGTGGCCAAAAGCCAGCGATACCCTGACAAAGTCCAGGAGGCCGTGACCCAGCAGTCCCCCCATGCTGTCCAAGACAAGGCGACCAGTGGTCCCCTGACGCTGTCCAAGAGAAGGCGACTCAGCGGTCCCCCGACACAGTCCAAGAAAAGGCGATCCAGCTGTACTCCGATGCTGTTCAAGAGGTGACCCAGCGGTCCCCCGACGCTGTCCAAAGAAGAAGACCCAGTGGCGCCCGACGCTGTTCAAGAGAAGGCAATCCAGAGGTCCCCTGAAGCTGTTCAAGAGAACGCAATCCAGAGATCCTCCGACGCTTTCCAAAGAAGATGACCCAGCGGTCCCCTGACGCTGTCTTAGAGAAGGCGATCAGGAGGTCCCATGTCACAGTTCAAGAGAAGGCGAACCAGAGGTTCCCCGACCTAGTCCAAGAAAAGGCGACCAGTGGTGCCCCGATGGTGTCCAAGAGAAGGGGACCCAGCGGTTTCCCGATGCTGTCCAAGAGAAGGGGACCCAGCGGTCCCCCGATGCTGTCCAGAGAACAGGACCCAGCGGTCACCCGATGTTGTCCAGAGAACAGGACCCAGCGGTCCCCCGAGGCTGTCCAAGAGAAGCGGACCCAGCGGTCCCCCAACGGTGTCCAACAGAAGGCAATTGAGATGTCCCCTGCTGCTGTTCAAGAGAAGGCAATCCAGAGGTCCCCGATGCTGTCCAGAGAACAGGACCCAGCGGTCCCTCGACGCTGTCCAGAGAACAGGACCCAGAGGTCTCCCGAGGCTGTCCAAGAGAAGCGGACCCAGCGGTCCCCCAACACTGTCCAACAGAAGGCAATCAAGACGTCTCCTGCTGCTGTTCAAGAGAAGGCAATCCAGAGGTCCCCCGATGCTGTCCAAGAGAAGGGGACCCAGCGGACCAGCCATGCTATTCAACAGAAGGCGTTCCTAGAGGTCCCCTGTCACTGTTCAAAAGAAGGCGAACCAGAGGTTCCCCAACCTAGTCCATGAAAAGGCAACCAGTGGTGCCCCGATGGTGTCCAAGTGAAGGGGACCCAGCTGTCCCCCGATGCTGTCCGGAGATGGGTACCCAGCCATCTCCCGATGGTGTCCAAGAGAAGGGGACATAGCGGTTCCCCGACGCTGTTCAAGAAAAGGCGATCCAGAGGCCCCGCGACGCTGTTCAAGAGAAGATGACCCAACAGTCCCTGAAGCTGTCCAAAGACAATCCAGCGGTCCCCCGATGCTGTCCAAGAGAAGGACACGCAGAGGTCCCCCGATGCTGTCCAAGAGAAGGGGACCCAGCGGTTTCCCGATGCTGTCCAAGAGAAGCAGACCCAGCGGTCCCCCGAGGCTGTCCAAGAGAAGCGGACCCAGCGGTCCCCCAACGGTGTCCAACAGAAGGCAATTGAGATGTACCCTGCTGCTGTTCAAGAGAAGGCAATCCAGAGGTCCTCCGACGCTGTCCAAGAGAAGGGAACCCAGCGGTCCAGCCATGATGTTCAACAGAAGGCATTCTTAGAGGTCCCCTGACACTGTTCAAGAGAAGGTGATACAGAGGTTCCACGATCTTGTCCAAAAAAACGCGACCCAGTGGTTTCCCGATGTTATCCAAGGGAAGGGGACCCAGCTGTCCCCTGATGCTGTCCAGAGAAGGGGACCCAGCGGTCTCCCAATCGTGTCCACGGGAAGGGGACATAGCAGTCTCCCGACGCTGTTCAAGAAAAGGCGATCCAGAGGCCCACTGATGCTGTTCAAGAAAAGGCAACCCAGCGATCCCCCGAAACTATCCAAGACAGGAGGACACACCAGTCCCAGGGTCCCCCGATGCTGTCCAAGAGAAGGCAGTCCAGAGGTCACCCGACGCTGCTCAATAGAAGGGGACCCAGCGGTCCCCCAACACTGTTCAAGAAAAGTGCACCCAGAGGTCTTCCGACGCTGTCCAAGAGAAGGGGACTCAGTGGTCCCATAATGCTGTCCAAGAGATGACGACCCAGCCGTCCCCTGAGGCTTTCCAAGAGAAGGGGACACAGCGGTATCCCAACGCTGTTCAACAGAAGGCGATTCAGAGGTACCCCGACGCTGTTCAACAGGCCTTCCAGAGGTCCCCTGACGCTGTTCAAGAGAAAGCGATCCAGAGGTCCCCCGATCTTTTCCAAGAAAAGGCCACCCAGTGGTTCCCCAATGGTATCCCAGGGAAGGGGAACCAGCTGTCCCTCGATGCTGTCCAGAGATGGGGACCCAACGGTCACCCGATGGTATCTAAGAAAAGGGGACATAGCCGTCCCCAGACGCTGTTCAAGAGAAGGCGATCCAGAGGTCCCCAGACGCTGTTCAAGAAAAGGCGATCCAGAGGTCCCCCAACACTGTTCAAGAGAAGGCAACCCAGCGGTCCCCCAAATCTGTCCAAGACAAGAGGACACACCTGTCCCCGGTCCCCCGATGCTGTCCAAGAGAAGGCGATCCAGAGGTCACCCGACTCTGTCCCAAGAAGTCGACCCAGCGGTCCCTTGACGCTGTCCAAGACAAGGCGATCCAGAGGTCTAAAGACACTCTTCAGGAGAAGGCGATCCAGAGGTCCCCTGACGCTGTTCAAGAGAAAGCGATCCAGAGGTCCCCCGATCTTTTCCAAGAAAAGGCCACCCAGTGGTTCCCCAATGGTATCCCAGGGAAGGGGAACCAGCTGTCCCTCGATGCTGTCCAGAGATGGGGACCCAACGGTCACCCGATGGTATCTAAGAAAAGGGGACATAGCCGTCCCCAGACGCTGTTCAAGAGAAGGCGATCCAGAGGTCCCCAGACGCTGTTCAAGAAAAGGCGATCCAGAGGTCCCCCAACACTGTTCAAGAGAAGGCAACCCAGCGGTCCCCCGAATCTGTCCAAGACAAGAGGACACACCTGTCCCCGGTCCCCCGATGCTGTCCAAGAGAAGGCGATCCAGAGGTCCCCCGACTCTGTCCCAAGAAGTCGACCCAGCGGTCCCTTGACGCTGTCCAAGACAAGGCGATCCAGAGGTCTAAAGACACTCTTCAGGAGAAGGCGATCCAGAGGTCCCCTGACGCTGTTCAAGAGAAAGCTATCTAGAGGTCCCCTGACGCTGATCAAGAGAAAGCTATCTAGAGGTCCCCTGACGCTGTTCATGAGAAGGCGATCCAGAGGTCGCCTGACGCTGTTCAAGAGAAAATGACCCTGAAGTCCCCTGATGCTGTCCAAGGGAAGACGACCCAGCGGTCCCCCGACGCTGTCCAAAAGAAGGGGACCCAGCTCTCCCCCGACGCTGTTCAAGAGAAGGCGATCCAGAGGTCCCCTGACGCTGTTCAAGTGAAGGCTATCCAAAGGTCCCCCAATGCTGTCCAAAGAAGACAACCCAGCGGTCCCCCAACACTGTCCAAGAGACGGCGATCCAGAAGTCCCCTGATTCTGTTCAAGAGAAGTCGATCCAGATGCCCCCCGATGCTGTCCAAGGGAATGCGACCCAATGTTACCCCAAAGCTGTTCAAGAGAAGGCAATCCAGCATTCCCTGACGCTGTTCAAGAGAGGGCGACCCAGTGTTCCCCAGATGCTGTCCAATAGAAGGTGACCCCGCGGTCCCCTCATGCTCTCCAAGAAAAGGCGATCCAGTTGTCCCCCGATGCTTTCCAAGAGAAGGGGACCCAGAATTCCTCCGACGCTGTTCAAGAGAAGGCGACCCAGTGGTCCCCCGACGCTGTCAGGGAGGCGGTGACCCAGCGTTCCCCATCGCTGTTTGGGAGGCAGCGACCCAGCTGTCCCCTGAGGCTGTTCGAGAGGTCGAAACCCAGTGGTTCCCCAGCACAGTCTAGGAGGCGGCGACCCAGAGCTCTCCCAATGCTACCCAGAGCCCAGTTCCCAGGGAATGACTGCATTTTGATGCCTTGGAGTGCAAACCAGGAAATTTTCAAATGAAAACCCCTCTCTGGAGCCCTATTCTAGGTCCTGCTTCTGCAGCAGAAGCTGGGGAAAGTAAAGGGTGGTGTGGGTGGTTCAATAAAAAAAAAAGAGTATCCAGGTAAGGCGAAGTGGTGTCTTGGGAAGCATCATTTCAAGAATGCCTGCTGAGCTTGGAAGACTACTTGGCATCCCCTGGAGGTCAAGAGGAGAGGCTGCCCTCTCTGGGAGTCCACTTCTCAGCCCCCACTGAAACTTCAGAGACTGGACTTTTTCATGGGTCCCTTTCCTCCCCTGCTCCTTGGCTCCCACGTTTGTGGGGCTTCTTATTAAAGCATTTGGTTCTCCCAAACTTTCTAATAAACTTGATGATCCAGAAAAAAAAATTATCAATCTTCTTTTCAGAAACTGTTTCTCTACCTTAGTGGATGTTAAACATTTGTGGTGTGGGACTTTCTGAAGTCCTGGGTGGACTTCTACTAGAAAAGGAGTTGGGAGTGA